GCTGTGCACTGTGATGTATTGGGTAAGAGCCATTTGCAATATGCCATGAGCTCTACTGAACTAGAAATGTCTGTACATTTTTAAAATATCACACAAGCAATTGATACATTTACAAAAACCAAAAAAGTCCAAAACAGTGCACATACAGATGTGTTTAAAGTGCTCTTTTTGGTTCCCGGACATTGTATCGATTTGTAAAGCAGATGTTTCAAAGTACCTCCTTCTCCGTGAAGAGGGATTCTGTGGGAGTTTCATTACCCCTGATCTGTTTCAGTATCACATATGCAAAATCTACAATGCTCTGTCCAGAAATGGCAGTGATGCTGCTTAACTCATCAACAATCTGCAAATGTAAAGCCCAAAGACGCGTTATTTAGATTTGCATACATTGTATACTTCTTTTGTGATGTCCATTACTGTACACCACAGAAGAAGGGGGGACAAACAGAGGGAATTCTTGCAATCTTTCAGGCGTATTTCCTTGGACATGGAAATAGCAATACACATCTCTGCCTTGTCTGTTTTTGCTTTGATTATCATATATAGTATTGCAATTTATGTAGTTGTATTACATATAATTGGCTTTTAATTACTATTACTATGTGTCTGAAAATGTAAATCTATTCAACCTGTTTTGGCAAATTCTACAATTAATTTTTCTGGGACTTACCTGCTCTCCCAGAGGCAGTTTAATTATCAAACCTATACAATCCTGTTTTTGTTACAGGTAGATCTGTTATTGCAAATATTCAGACATTATGAAAATTAAGTGAGCTGGTTTTCTTGCACCTTTGAAAATTGTATTTTTGCTTGATCTGTAAAATTCCAGTACAGCAGGTCTGGAAAATCTAACGAAATTCCTTTTTGCTGAAGCGGTTATATAGTGTAGCATAACAGATAATATTCTGGGAGAAGGCAACCGCATGGAATCACGCATTGATTACGATTGGTGAAATCTGAAAAGGAAATTGGAATGAAAAGTAGCGTACGGGGATTTTTAACTTTTTTTGAATTGGGCTTCTCTATAGACTCTATAGAATTACCTGACTCCAGCTGGTGAAGCTCAGAATGAAGGCGCCTGTAGCAATGACACCAGCTGCAAGGAGCACGCAGTCTTCCTTCACTGTCACAAACTTTGCCCTGCTCCTCCAAGCAATGTTCATGAAGGCACACCACATAAGGCAATATAGAGAAAAGGATTAGCATTTTGATAAAACTTAACAAAGCTGACTTTTGTATTAACATATTACTGTAAATGGGCTAATGGGATCATATAAGTGCAGGTGTGTGTTCAAATAGTGTGAAACACTGCTAAAACTTCTAAATTCTTCTCTTCTCAGAGAAGAGGGCATTGGGAGCTGTGGAATAAGAGTTTTTAAAACATGACTAGAAAATCGGTTTTTAATTGAGACATCGCTGAAATGCCACCCACCTCTGCTCCTGGGTGGGGTTTAAACTCTCCGTGACCGACACCAGCAGATGGTCGTAAATGAGATTTCTCTGGAGATATACGAACTGTAGCACTTGCTGACAAATAGTGTACAGGCGTGGGACGGGAACTGTGGAATCATTGTATCCTGTAAACGGGAAAAATATGGACAGGCTTTGTTTTTCTGCACTGGGTTCTGCTGAACGTTTTTCATAAAATGAGTTGAGACTTTACATGTTTTTGCGTGGTATCTGGTATCTCAAAAGTAAAGTTAGTAATCTCTAGCTTCCACTGGAGAGAACTGCTTTGGAAAACAGTGGTTATTTGCTAGTGTTATTGCCCTTGAAATGGAAACACTCACCCAGGACTTCCATGAGGACCTCAACATATGTGAGAGGATTTTGGAAGTTTATGCAGAAATCCAGAGTTTTCAGGATGTGGATTTCTGATTCCAGTAAAGCCTCTTTTGTATAGTTATATCCCAACTGGTGCAGAAATCTCACAGCTGTATTGTTGTCAATAAACTGTAAAATATAAAAAAAAAGCCTTAAGAATAAAAAATATATATTTTTAAGTCTCTTTGCTAAACTTCTTTTCTCTTCGTATAACACAGGCAATTTTCTCTGGAAACAATGGCAGGAGGGAGAAAAATGAAAAGTTCTTTGTATATTAACACTCCTTGGTGCTCTTGGGTCACTCAACATATGAAGACACAAAAGCAGTTTGAGAAACGACAACATTTGTCACAAGACAGCACTGGGGAAGACCTGCATTAGAGGCACCTTAAGAAGGATCAAGGTGTCAAGCAGAAATACCAGAGACCTGCAGGAGTCAGAGGACTGGGGTTATATGTCATTGATATAATAGTGCTTATGATGTAGGTCGCCATGCAGCAATCCTGGATACCCACACATACTTTCACATTTATGATGATAGAAAGCAGGGTAAAGCAGAACTTTGATTTTAGAATGGCGTCCTGGCCAAATTTCCCATTGGCCCTGACCAATCATGGCCTCCTAATAATCCCCATCTATAAATAAGCTTCATCACTCTGTTCTCCTCCCCACTGATAGCTGATGTGAGCGTTCTGGCGCACTATGGCTGCCGTCGCAGTGGTGGTGGTGGAGGGGAGTCCCCATTACCTGTAAAGCGCTTTCAGTGGAGTGTCCAGAAAAGCGCTATATAAGTGTAAGCAATTATTATCATCTGTTCAGGAGACTGATACTGTCTGTCCGTAATGATATTTACTAATGAAAATGTTCCGTGATCTGTTAGACCTTTCGGAGGTTGTTTAGCTATTTGAAATGGAAATCCACTAACCCTGCAGTGCAGCGCAAGTTTGCTTGCCAGCTGTATGGAGGTGAAAACGGTGAGTGTGAATCTCTCTCTTAGCTTCCTAAGAATGGAGCCAAGGGACTCTTCTCGGCCATGAGCAGGCATGCTCAATAGACCTGCAAGGAGCTTCGTCATGTACCTGGAATTATTAAAAAAAACAGCCTGTGTGAAAAAAACATCACTATATCTGAACCAGATGTTACTGTAATAATGTGTTTAATGTGTGTTGAACCTGTGTAAACTGAAGACACTGTAATTCAGACCCTATGTAAGTGGACCAATATAGAATTAACTGTGTTTGTTTTCAGTGATAACAAACGGGGAAGCATTATTCATTATTGTATTTAACAAACTGTAACAACAATATGGGGAAGGGAGTTTAAACAATATTAAGTATTTTAGATTGCATTTTCCACATTTTTCCAAAGTGCAGTGAATTCAGGTTATATTTTTAACCCTACCCCTGCACCAAACTCCGACAGGAAAAGTAATGAGTGCTAATTATTGATGTAATTATTTATGAACAAATGTCTGCCTACCGCTCCAGTATTTCCAATGCTTGATATCCAGTGAAAAGATCCAGTCTTAACTCTTGGCACACAAGAAATATGTATTCTGAAAAAACAGGAGAAGATAAATCAGTAACCGTCATTTGATTTTGTGGACTGAGTGAATGTCCCATTACACCAGTTGCTCTTGAAGAAATATTGGACAGCTACGCAGCATTTAAAAAACCCTGTAACCTCGTCGACTTTTCTCACATTGACAACATGGCGACCGGCAAGGGAAGAACCGTTTAACTGACGTACCTACAAGCTTTCTCTCTTTGAAACTTCCACTGTGACCCAAGACATTTCGTAAATGTTCCTTGTTTTTGCGGTTAAGGTTTACCAAGAAATCTGCCAGGATATCGTGGGTGGCGGCACCAAACAACATATCTCCACACACATCCGAAACCGAGGAGCTCATTGCCTCAGTGGCCGTCGCCGGCGCGGCTAGGAAACGAATCATACGAAATGGGAAATGGCTATTAACGAGAAGGCTTTTTCCCTATCCTGGACGTCAAATAATAATAAAAAAAACAATTAAGGAATGGGAAATCACTATTAACGATGTCAGTCCAGTGTTAATTGACGTACAATACATTAGTACTGTATCGCTTTGCGTAGATTTGGCAGTAGGTGGCGCTCACAACACACGGTTAAATCCCACACTAGAGGGCAGCACCGGTCCGGTCGGAACTATCGGTGCCGGCCCTTGTTGTAGTCCGGGAGGAAAGGAGGAACGTTCCTGCGGTATAAAGACTTCCCGGTTACACTATTATTTCAATCATGACTTTTGAGTGGCCTTGGCAGTATAACTTCCCTCCCTTTTTCACGTGAGTTGATTTTTTTTTGTGTCTACTCATCCGTGGTGTAATGTCCTCTGTGGGCAGATGCATTCAGTTGTTCTGGGGTCCGTAGTCAGATTGTTTCGTGGCTCCTCTGGTTTTGAAGCCGTTTATCTCCGCTTCCTGCGACTGAGCTGGACCGGGAAGTAGGATGTGAGTAGGACAGATACAAACTTAAGAAAACAGTGAGCGACTTGTTCCTTACACAAGTTACATCAGCAACAGACTTACGAGCTGGTTTTTTTTACTAGCTCGGCTCATATTGCTGCATAAAGAAAAGTAAACCCGTCTCCGTTGGCAAGCTCTAAAATACCATAGAAGGGCGCCCTCATTTTCATTGAAAAGCCCAGAGCACATAGTCGCAAAAACCTAAAAGACTCTCAGTACAACAAAGTAATCGTTTTTATTCTATGACAGACTGCAGCCAAATGCTGACACACGGCAGAAACAGCTGGCAGCGTGGAGCTCCTTGGTGCTGTCCTACTGCCGACATCACAGACTCTATACATTGGACGTTTTGGAAGCGCAAGAAAGCCCGGTGTTCAACAACAAAAACACAGGGAGTATCCTTCTCAGAGCGATTGCCTTGCAGTTGCTTTACACATTGCGTTAGAGCGACGGGAGCGATACTTTGCAATACTGTTCACTGACTGCATCTTGCTCAGCTTAGACACCGCATCACCGCATTGATTTAAAAAAGTTAGTTATTGCTATTCTTGCTACATATTTCTGACTGCCTGTCAGAAATGTTCCAGCATGTGATAGCAATTGTTGATTCTTAAAGACGGATTGCAGATCTTTACAAATGAAAACATATATATCTATAAAGAATGCGTTTATATAATTTATAGTTTAAAAAAAATAAGTATTATTGTATTGTGGTTATTGTACTTTGCATCAAGTAAAAATGCAACATCTCTGTATTTTGGATGCAGGGATATTTGCTGTTATGTCACTGTTTTAGTTTACAGTGATAATATTAAAGTAGTCATAACTGAGGTTGGCATGTTCTAGTCCTGCTATCTTTGTCAGTAGAATACAACTGATTTATAAAATCGAATCAATTTAGCATATTGAATTTGAGAAGTCTACAGATATGAAACGTTTCACAGTTTTCTGTACTGTTAACAAAGCCTTAACCTGAATTTCAGGGAAGCTTTCCACAGAAGCCATTCAAGTCATTTTTGAAGAACTGAGAAAAAAAGGTTTCTATGTTTCTGTTTTCCCCTATTTAAAATGTCTCTGCTGTATTTCAGCTCTCAGTTAGTAATCGGAGATCAGACATGTTTTGGTGTGGTAAAAGGTTCAGTCCCTTCATTAGTGCTCTCTGTTCAAGAGGAAAAAAGGTGTCAAGATGCACATTTTGCACCAATGTACAGTTATTACTCTTTGTAGTGCCCCTGTCATAAAACTATATTTTTATTCAGCAAACAATTTCATGTTTGACCATGGTTTTTTAGCAGGGGTCTTTTTGGTGATTAGTCTAGCTGTTGTGCTGAACTAATCCTCTGGCCCGTTGATGGCCTAAAACTCAACTATTTAAACCAAAAAGGTTAGTTCTGTAAAACTATTAGATCAGTGGGCTAAGACTTCCAGTTTAGGCATTTCTATTTCTGCTTTGGACTGTGTTAAAAATCGCCTGTGACCAGGGCTCTCCAGGCTGTTGGACTTGAGCTCGTGGGAATACTGGATATCCCACAGTGCACTGCTCCAGTGTCTGTGAGCGTGCCAGTAGGCACGTTGAATGAGAGCATGCTCCATACTGCCAAGTGGTGCCAGTGATCCAAGTGTGAAAATAACAATACACAGTTTCAGGCTGATGCAATATTAAATATAAAAAGAATTGGAGATTCCAAATTTTAAAAATACCCATATTTGCAGCTGCCCATTGATATGCAGTTCGAACAGGATAAAGTAAATACAGTATGTCTAGGCTGATTTACTCTACAAAAGGGCAAAAACCTTTTCTTTTGTATTTTGTACAGGGCTAGCATGCATTTGACACACTTTAGTTCTTAAGAGGTCAAAGGATAGGACTTTCACATCTGCTTTTCCTGTGGCCCTGCGTGTATCGTAAGAGGGCATGTCCTTTATAATAAGCCATTCCAAAGAAGGCTGCAGATTTCCATTTCCATTGTCTCAGAATGGTGACCTCTTCTTGTGGAATACAGGGAATTTGGAGTGGATGGACAAAAACAAAGCTCGGTGCTTGATCATGTGGAGAAGGCCAGAGGAGTGGGGCAAACTCATATATCAGTGGGTAAGGAGCGTTCCCCTGAACTCTGCCTATTGATTTATTTATGAACACATCAGTGTGCAAAAACACGTTTTTGTACATGCTTCAGTGTGTATGTGTTCATAATGCATATCTGTGTATGACTTAATTTACCTTCGTGTGTAAGGAGGTGTTCACACACTGCGTGAGCTGAGACATGTATATTTGTATAGGTGTGCGTGGCATTTTTTTGTTTTTGCTCAGTATAGAAAAGTTCCTGCTGGCAGAACACTACTTATCCCCCTAGGCTCATAGGCACAAGTTCAAAAGTATCAGGTATTTTTTCCCCCCAATTTCTAAATCAGAAAATGGTTGATAATCATGCATTTTGCAAAAAATGAAAGATATTGATTGAATATAGTTATCACCTTTTCACCCAGCTCAACCTTTTCCCCAATATGCTGTCCTTGGTTTTGAGTATTTTTGGTTGTGCAGGTTCTGACATTGTTGACTGGCTTTTAAATGTCAATAGATAAAATTGCTCCACCTTTTTATCACGTATATATAAAAACTCTTTTAAAAGAAAGTGACATAAATACAGTAACTGTGTGTGTCTCCCTTTTAATGATGACTTTTTTTAAAAGAGAGGCTAAATTTGGAATAAAAACAGGGTTTGTGTTTAGCAGACACAGTCACACAGTGGAATGTGACTTCTTGTTTGTAGGAAAACCCTCAGGCAATAGCTCATTACATAGTTTAAGATCTCAAGTCACTATATCTTAAAAATAATACAGTAATACGAGTTAAGTGTAATTTTTGTAATAGGTGTAATTGAGGACAATTCCGCAATGATCCTTTCCCCAAGGAAAACAGCTGAATTTAGCTTTAGTTGCAGGTACCCTTTCAGGCTGTTTATGTGTCTCCAAAAATGCGAAATCCATAAACAGATTCAAATTTGCCGACAGTTACAGCTATTAGAGTATACTGTCCAGGAATTATTGACTCAAGTGACAAAGTGGGTGTTTACTGCTATGTACTGTAAAAAGTTCAGTTTGGTTGGAGCTAAGGTGGGAAGAATAATCCAGCACTGATTAAAAAAGGCATGAATGCTGTTACAGTGACCTCAAACGTCCTAATTGTTACCACATGGGTTTGCTCCAGCAAGAATTTAAAATTTGCGATTGATCTCTTTAGTCCCTAAAGTGTGGTGATCAGCATAATAAACCTTAACATGGGTTTGCAAATTACTAAAACGAGGAAAGCCAATTTTGTGTGTGAGTCTTGATTCATTACAGCTGTGCTGTTCTTGGTACAGAACTAATGCTCTTACAGCTGAGGTTTTGTATATCTAACAATTCTGATTTAACAATGCCGACTGTGAGGGAATTACAAACAGGAATGATGTGAGTTTATATTGAAAGTAAGTGCTAAGCTTTGCATATTTTCTTAAATCGTCTTTACTGGTGCAGTGCAACCAGATTGTTTGCTTGAAGTGTTTTTAAGTGGAGAGCTCACTATAATTCAGTCTCTAACAATTTGTCCTGGATTTGGTGTGTTAAGCGTGTCAGGCCTCACAGACATGACTTCAGCAGTGAAGTGCTTGCCGTCATGTGAGTACCACAACCAGTGTAAACTTAGACTTTGATTTATGATATAGTCATAGTTTTAGGCACATCGACTTAAATGTCTATTAGATATGCTATAGTCACATTTCAGTCATGGAGTTTGATTTAGTCATATAAAATGTATAAAGCTGTAGTGAACAAGTGATTTTGGGCTTCATCATAATCATTAACCCCAACACTGTCCAAGATAGCCTCCAGGGCCCTCTTAGTCCTCCTAACCAGGGCGCCTGTGCCTTTGCTTCATCACTATTGGTATCTTACCCATGGGAATGGGCCATCTTTTTAAGGGGGCTCCGTTCACTAGCCTGTTCTTCAGTTTGGCGTCAGTTTTGTTTTTCAGATGTGGGGTTGACCAGCGGTTCAGCCTGGCCGCTCACATGTGGAACTGTAGGAGCCGGTCGTTTGACGCTCCAGCCTGGCTCATGGCGCTGGCCCGCGGTCACTGGCTCTCCGAGCAGTGAAACACTGTTGGCTCAGTGCTGCTGGGATTAGCCAGCCAGGGCTTCCTTGGTGCCCGATCAGTGACCCCTGGGGCTCCTCTGGAGCCCTGAGTGATTCCAGTGAGAGACGCAGCTCTCCTTCAGTCGGCAGCGAAGCTCCTGCATGGCCCTGCCGAGCTCGCAGCATGTCGAAAACAACTGGCTCGATAGGCAAGGAATCGCTACTGTGAGGTGAGAGAGAATTAGAAACAAATGGCAGTTTCAGACTAGACTAGAAATAAAATATTGTGTGATTACAATTTTTTTAAAAAAAATTGGAATTAAAAAAAAAAAACTTGAATCACCCATCATTAATCGGCTTGGTTTACAACTAGAATGCATGTAGGGAACCTGCGTGGTCACTCCTCTGACACATCTGTCAGAGTCATTCATCTTTTGACATTCTGCAAGCACCGATGTCGTCATACAGGAGAGAGGGTCGCTGGCCTGAGGAGTAAAGCAGGTTACTCCCAGCAAGTGCCACTAGGGGTCGCTGTTTGTATGGTAACCGCTGGGAGGCTTGAGCTCACTAACGTGCAGTGGAAAGAGGAACGATGCGGGTGATTTCCGGTTATGGCTGGTTAGTGGATTGACCCAGACAGCTTCTGAACCTTCGTGGTTGAACACTGAGATCCTGTCCCGTTTCTGTTTATTTTTTAGGAACTGAGAAAACAAGGTGTTTTTGAGGCAGACACTCATTGTATAGGTAAAGGTATACAAGGAACACAGTTTTGTCTGTGGATCCTCCTTCAGGTGTGGAGACCTGTTTCTTTGCAGCCCATGCATGCTGACGCAGCCAGCTACTCGCACGTTTTATACACTGTTTATTAGGGAGGGAGTTGACAATGTGCCTGAACATTAAATAATAAAAAATATTTCTTTTTAAGGTTTCCAAAAACGGCATGATGAACTCTGTGTTCACACTATACGAGCTGTCCAATGGAGATGACACAGAAAGCGAAGGTACTTGTCTGTGTGCTTTAGGATGTGTATATTTGGGTCTCAGTGTTGAAGATAAAGGGAACCTAACACTCAGAATATTATGCCATTAACATGCCTTTGTGTATTTTATCATAATTAAAATGTTTCTTTTTGAATTTCAGATAGACCTGTTACTTTGACTGACTGATAATTTATTAGTGTCTATTTATGTACAGCCGAAATAATGTGCATCTTATAAATAGTAAATAAATAATTCTGTCGCTTAACATAACTAATATAAAAGCAGTGGAGTATTTTGTCAAAGTTCCTCAGTATTCTGGGTCATCATTGCTATTTTATGAGTATTGCTTGCCTCATTCCGACTGTTTAATAACCTCTGTGTTATTGGTTATTTTGTTCAATTCTGACCAGTACTGATATCTCTTGTGATGAAATCAAGCTCTATGTTTGGAAGTGCAAACTTCCTGTTAACAGAAAACCATTTAACGTTGACTTAACTATTTAACAAACAGTTTTAATATTGTTACTGAGTCCTTGTGTCTATTTTAAGTTTTACATACACAAGATATTCTTTATACTTATTCTTTACTCACCTGAACATTCTACAAGAGTAACAATTGCAATACCTCCTCTATATTGGCAGACCGTGGTCATGACTCTTTGTAAAGGATATACAGCTTGTGCTCATAATTGGGGGAAAAAAAACATTCTGTACAATACAGGGCCCTGCAAAAAAAGACCTCAAGTTTTGATTTGCCTTGCGCTTATTTTTGTTGAGCTCTTTATAGCATGAAGGCGTAAGCTGGCATTCAGCTTGTACCGTTCCAGTGCTGATAACACTTGCTAGAGATGCTGTAGGCGTGAGGAGTGACAGCCAGGTACCCCGTGACTCAGACTGCTGTTCTTCCTGTGCCCCAGAGTTCCACGGGCTGGAGGACTGGCTGCTGCTCAGGTCCTTGCAGGCTCTGCAGACAGAAGGCAAGGCGGAGATCATCACCATGAATGACGGGAAAGGGGTGAAGTTCTTCTGAAGGACACGGCGCTGTTGCGGCGGAGACTGTGCAGATATCGGGCCGGCGCGCTGTGCTACCCGCCGGGCCGGTCCGTGTTCCGTCGGGAGGCACGAAGCCTGGGCTCCTTGTGTTGTAGACCGCAGGAAATGCTTATGGAAAAGTCCCCTTATTCTGGGGGAGGCTTTTCCTCTTTAGATTTTGGGGGTGGGGTGGGTGAATCAAAATTGTAAAGCGCTCCTCCTTCAAGCAGGCTCTCCTTGCTCCACTCTTTTCCAGAATATTTTTCCACTGTTTTTTATTTTCTTTTTTTTTTTACAGTGATTAACTTCTGTTGAGTGACTGACGAGGATAAATACCCGTCAGGTCCAGTGCAATACTTCTTGCAATAAAGAATTTCTCAGCAAACAACGGACGTCTGGAAAACAGTTTTCCATCCTTGGCTTGTGGAAGATCTTTAGGATTTGGGGTTCCTTACTGGAAAAAGCTGGAGATGGGGAGCATGCAGCTTTATTGGACAAGCATTATAAGCAAGGAGGTAGCCATTGTACATATCGCTGGATCTTCCTGTCAAAATCTTGTAGCCATTTGCTCTGTATTTGACTGCCTTTTATATTGCTGGGTTACTGTAAAATAAACTGAAACGACATCCAACCTGGATTTCTGTGTGGTACCAAGGTACACGGCTTGTTTTTCAATAAAAACACCTGCAAACACAACAATGTCCACCGGGTGGCTGGAGTTCACCATGTTTAGTTGGATTCGGCCGAGCAGTCGCACTATCTTGACGAAGGAGTACATTGAAATCTGGCAAAAGATTCTGGGGGGGGGGGGGAACTGTTAAAATAAGAAATTGTACCCTCCCAGTCTCACGACACCTACAGTAACCTGTCCTGTCAGAAGATGCCAGCACTGCTATGACTGAAGATGCGAATATTTGTGTCCGTCTTAATCTCCTTTCTTTAGGTCGGTCATCCGCTAATTAAGGCGGAATGAAGGCGTAATTAGGTTGACTTATTGGCTTAGCCCCGGGCGGCGGGCTGAGGGGACGGCTGTAAAGGCCTGAGCAGTGTGAACCCCCCGCAGGGGGAGCTGCTGCGCGGTCGCAGGTGGGGTGGTGGGACGGAGGGGACAACATCGGGACTCGGGCGCTGGAGGCCGGAGACGGGCAGGCCTGGGCTTGACGGCACCCAAACGTCTGCTAGAAGCAGCATTATGTTGGATGGGAGCGTGCCCAGGAAAGATTAAAAAAAAGCTAAATGTCAAACTGTTTGCAAAACAATAATGATTAAACCTAATAAATTAGTGAATCCTCAAAGAGTTTCAAATACAGGGTGTTTAGGTATACACGTATGTAATAAAGTTATCGGTCTACATAATGTCATAGGATCATTTTAGCGTATATATTTTATCAGGTGTTTATATGTTTTGTTTTTTGCCCATTGGAAATCTAAAACAAATACTGTGCATGAACTTATCTCAGATAGTTTACGGAAGAAACGCTGTTTCGTCTTCCTACTTTTCATTGTGAAATTAGCCTGTTTCTTCCTTTGCAGTCGCCGCACACTGACGCAGATCCCGACTCGAATTTGTATAAAATGCTTAGAATAATACTGCCAAAGCATAAAAAGGCAAAAAAAAAACTTAAATCAGTCTCTTAACACTCGGGAAATAGCTGTGCTGGAAACCACGGCACCTTTGTATTGTAATCTTAAACATCTGAAACTGCAAAAAAGGTGTAATTAAAATATATCACATCACTAGCTTCTATGTAGTTGAGAAAATGACCTGGCCCTAACATAATGTTTCAAATGTTATGTTTATTTTTTCTGTGACAAATTATCTAGATCAAATACGGTCATTGTAAATCAGATTTTGTTAATATCACACTGAAAGGGTCACGGATTAAAATTTTGTTTGCTACCATTTTAACATTGTTTTCATCAAGAATTAAGAAAATCCTTCAAAAAACACTTTTTCTTAGTCTCTGCGCTCACAGAATATACCATAACTTCTGAGAAAAAACATTTTCAACGAGCTCAGTAATGCATTCTGGATGTTTCATGACGTAAGTAGTAACTTGGTGAAACATTAACGCTTAAATAGGATGGATTAGTGTAACACTAAACTCATAAATTAATCCCCCTCTTTCTCCCACAAGAATTCAGGAAGCTGAAGATGTAGAGGTGGTTGTTTTTTTTTTCAGCCAGGCAAACAGCAGTCTGAGCAGAACAGCAGAGAACGACCAGTAAGGGAAGGACAACAACAGTATAAGTGAGCCAAATTGCAGGAAAACACAGATTAAGCAAACTGCAATTGCAAAGAGACAGTATAAGATTGGAGCGCTGATTATTCTGGCCTGCTTTTCGCAGTTGTTTTCTTGTTTTCTGAGGAGGACTCGTTCTCTCTGAACCGAGAGAGAAGTCACGTGCGCAGTTCAGGGCAGGGCCCCAGCCTGGCCTTCCCTGCCCATGTGCTCTCACTGATAACCCGGAGGTCTCCGATGCCACAGGTGGAGCTCAGTGCATTTCCCCAGAGATAACCAAACTTTTCTGCTCTCCCAGCTCCCTGGAACTGAAGGTTGCCTCTGCAGTGCTGCATATTTTCACCTTCTTAAGAACACGAGTTCTATCTGACGAGCACAGAACTTAAGTGTTCCACGTGCTTGTAGCACATTTTATGGTTTGTCCTTGATTCTGTAATTACGTAGGATTTACTCTTCTGCTTTTTTTATGATGCCCTCTATCCTGCGTCAGTTTATAATGATCATTTTTCATCACTGTTAATGTCCCGTTCAGTTTGATGGACAATGCTCCTTCCGGTACGCTGGTTATGTGTTGGAAAAATATGAGAGAGTTACCGAGCTGCATGCAGAACAGACAAGGGGGGAGACTGGAAGAGGGATTGGCCCTTTGAAGCTGAGGGTTACTCAGCAAGCCAAGTGCTTGCCCCACAGTCCAGAATCAGGCGCAGCACTCGCACTGCAACCTGCACTGGCTGAGCTCCCAGGTGTAGTGACTTGCACATTGTCACACAGTGCCCGGAGAACAGGAGGCCAGTGTTTTAAAAAGCTGATATTGGACACCCAGCTTGGCAGTGAGCTGGAATGAAGGAGCTGGGGCTGACGTCATTCGGATTGCAGTGGGCCAGTGCACCACGTGGTTATCACTTTAGAGTCCTGCAAGCTTTCTAGGTCTCTTTTAGGTCATCCCTAGCTACTTAGCTGGAAAAGATCATTCTAACTAGGGGACATCATTTATGGGGGGGGTATATGGGATACTTTGTCCCCCTAAGCCCATTGGGGGTGTCAAAATGTCTTACTGTAGCAAAGTGTAAGAGAAGACAAGCCCCAACATTCCAATTTGCTCCATCTTCCAAAAAACACTTTTGGCAATGGAGCACGTGATATTGTAGACGGCACACTCTGCCCCAACACAAGTCGCAATGGGGCAAACCAGGAGGACTTAAATTATTACAAAGGGTACCCCAGTTCCACATCTTGATCTAGAGCAGGAGGCAGCCCTCCCCCCCATCATTTCTTGAAATGAAATCTCTGATTCATATCAAGTAAACAGTTTGATTCAGTTATTCAAGAATCTAGCCGGAAGAAAACAACAGAAGAGACTGATTTATGGGAGTTCTTGTGCCTTACAATGTGCAGTCTGCATGGCACATTTCAGTAATTGCCTTAAACCAATACTTTTATCAGACAGCAATGCCCTCTGTGCCATTTACCGCAACTTCGTCCAGCCAGGCAGATCTGTGCCCTACACTTTGTCTTGCTGTGGTGCGTGGCACACGGCCAGCGAACGTTCATTGTGTCAGGGCAATCGTGACAGGCACTTAAGAACAGCTTAATTACGGCCCTGGTGTCCAGTTTCATTATCTCCACAGCAATTTCCACTGTCTGGGTTATCTGGGGTATTTGTGCTCTGGTTTAAGTATTTCTTTTAAATAAAACACAGAGGTACTATGCTGGCCACAGGCCTTTCATATTCACACAATGCACTTACACTATTAATTACACTGTTACACTGTTAATTACCTCCGCTTCTGTTTCAGTCAGAGGGGATATGCAATCAAAACAAAAACAGGAAGTACTCCTTTACACAGAGGGTTGTGGGAGTGTGGAACAAGCTCTTCAGCCAAGCTGTTGAAATAGCGTCTTTCACAAAACAGCTGGATGAGATCCTGTGGATCAATAAACTACTTTCAAATGAGTGAAATGGGACAAATGGTCTCCTCTCATCTGTAACCATCTGTTCTTAAGGAAGGAGCACCTGAATAATTTGACTTAAGTCCACTAACACAGAATATGTTTGCATGGTACAAGTTGAATGTTTTGAAAAATGCATAGCTGGAACATAGGACTGGAAACGACCAGATTGAAGAGAATCAGGAATAACATTCACTTGGGAGCCCATTGATAAATATTTGGAAAGCTTGTACTTGAGTGGTCCGAAGAACACCACCTAGTGTAAGTAAGAACACCCTGAACTGTCATGAACGTGAAGAACAGCTGTGATGAGAAAATGCCCATTTGTTTGTAACTTGTTATTGCCACACGCCAGGTTTATATAAAGACCCTGTCCCCACGAGTGCTCTCGCAAGCGCTGACCTGATGTTTTTTCATCGATGTTTATCGGCCCGTTTTGATAGAAGCACACGAAAGAAAAAAAAAAACGCGATACGCTCGTCGTGACACCATATAACATGTGTTAGCAGTCGCGCAGAAACGGGATGAAAAACAACGAGATAAACAAGTCGGAAGGTTCTGGTTTTAAGGGCTGCGCTAATGAAAACCAATAGGACTGTGTGTCTGCGCCTTTTAAAAAAAATCGCCCGTGTAGCCCTTTTTCTAAAAAAAAAATAATTGGATGACGCCGGGTAGCCTTCTCCAAAATCCATTCAAAAAGTGAATATGATAATAGTAACTTGAACAGCAATGGCAGAAGAAGATTCGTGTTAGAAAGCAGATACCGATCCCACAAGACGGCGGGCTGCGCACCGGGTCTCCGATTCTAGGCGCTGTAGTTCGCACGTTTTCGCCCAAGCAAGGTGTTTTGGCCTGGCAGCGGAGGAGGAGCCGTGCGGGTGTCCAGCCAGTGCTAGGAGCCGCCTGCTTTCTGTTGATATCGGCAAAGCGTCTGTGCGCTCTTTAAAAGGCTCCTGGCGCCTGCAGACGTGCACAGCGCACCACTTGGCTGGGGACTGCGCGGCTGCAAACGCGTGTTTTCTGAGATGTCGTGACAGAAGCACTTCTGTTTCTTGGATGTTTACAAAGACGCTTTCCACCAGACTTCGGACCAGATCCGTGCGCTGGGTGTATACCGCGAAGGTGTTTTCTACTTTTTTTAAAGTGAAAATTAAAATTGCGGAGTTGCCTTGTTCGTTTTATTTATATATTTTTTTAACAACAACGAAGGAATATATCGGCGGGACCACTTTGTGTGTGTGTTTTTTTTTCTCTCTCCCTCTCTCCTCTGTTTATGTTTGTGACAACCAATCTAAAAATAATTGTTGTTGTTGCGTCCTCGAAAAACACTGAGCGGACGTTTTGCTAGCAAAGACGGGGGTCGAGGCAGCCGAAGCGCTAAGGCTGCATTAAGGCTCACCTTCTGGATACTTAATTCGCTCCAACTTCATCTCCGCCGGCTGCTGCGCCGTTCTGTGCCATGGTCTCGTGTAGAGGTCCCTTCCAGGTATAATTTTGTTTTTCGGCCGGGGCCAGAAAGGTCATAACAGCCATTCAAGAAGAAACTTCAACCATGTCCCAGGCTGAGGTCGACCTGGCTGGCTGCGGTTTCCCAAATCTTACTGCAGTTCTGGACGACGACTCGTGTCTGCCCAGCCGGGTGCCGCCGAGGCGACGGAGGCACTCGGGAAATTCGAGAAGAAACTCGTACCGCTTCAATAAGAAAAACGGGATGGAGCTGGAGCCCCTACTTTTCGACGGCTCACTCTCCAAGCCCCTGTCTTGGTCCTCCGAGAACATCTTATCGGAGAGGACCGTGACGGAAGAAGTAAAAGCGGACTCGCCGCTGCCCGGTCCACCCTCACCTGCCACCGAGACCAGCGCGGCGCCCGGCGCGGACACCCCGAGCGCGGACGACGTCCCGGCGCCGTCCCGCACTCTGGACGCCAGCTCGGACTCGGAGGACGAGGGCGCCCAAATCAAACAGCAGAAGGCGGCTCTGTCGCGGGCGGCCTCCGAGAGCAGGTGGGAGCAAGAGGAGAAAGAGGAGATCGAGACCAAAGCGGTGGCCACCTCCCCCGACGGCAGGTACCTCAAATTCAACATTGAAATCGGAAGGGGGTCTTTCAAGACGGTGTACAAGGGTCTGGATACCGAGACGACGGTGGAGGTGGCGTGGTGCGAGCTGCAGGTAAGAGGGACGATGAGAGAGGTGTGTTTCACTCCAGAGGTGATACTGCTTTTATTGCGGGTTGAAAAGCCCCGCGCTGTTACCACATCCCGGAGCTTTGTGTTTGTAGAGCACGTATGTGTGTGTAACTTGTGAGAGAACGTGTTTTCCAAAGTTTAGAACTCGTCTGGGTTTCTCAATTGCGCTGCTTTGCGCTCCACTGAAGCACGGAATCGCGGTGCTTTAATTAATTTCGGCCTCTCTGAATGCGGTCTCATGCAACCACTTTCAAAGAGGTGCCACGCATAGCATTTCTCCAAAACACATGAAAGTGCTGGCGATGAGCTGTCCCTTACTCATACCCCAGATCTAACCCTAACCAATTCTGCAACCTCTGCTGCCACAAATATTTATTATTACAGGTACCTACAGTATGTATCCAATATGCCTTTTGGAACAGCAGCCTTTCATGAGTGGGGATGCTGTTAAAAATGTATAGTTAATAATGTTAATAATGCGTACATGGTCTCTTTGAAGGTGTCACACTGGATGCTTAAGACAACATTCAGATAAAACCAGGATTTTAACTTCATATCAATGGCTTCTTTGGCTGCATATGCACAAAAGAAGTTAATTGAGCTTATTATTCTGATGACACTTGTTTGTCTAAGTTAACAGCCTGGGAGCTGTGACAGCTTTCTTCAGCCAGGTTTGATAGAGTTAACCCCGAAAATACACGGCGAACACCCAACTCACAGAAGAAAGCCCCTGCTTGAGTGGAAACTTTATTCCACAGAGACTGAAGGTTTTTTTTTTGGTTTGAGTTGCATTCTGTCGTACTTTTGCCACAATCCATCAATGAGAGAAGAGTTTCGAAACCACTACTCCTTTGGAGATTTCTTCAGGAGGGGTCTGCTTGGAATGAAAATGGACTCTGATGGGGCTGATTCACGATGCAGGCTCTGACAAAGTTAACCCGAAAGGGAACATGTTCAGAAACTAACAGGAACAAGGGGGCACACGTGGAATCTGAGGGGAAGTGCATTTACAATCTAAGAATAGGAGTCACCCTTTTAGAAAAAGTGTTGAAGCACAAAATATCCAGCAAAGCTCTAAAAGCTGATCTCCTGAGTTCTTTTTTAAAAAAAACAGCTCGGTTGGCTCTTCAGTTCAATTAGCTACTAGCAACCAAACAAGCTAGATTGATTCATAACCTTCTTATGTGTGTTTTGGTCCAGATGCACAATGAAAATGTAGGACATACGTGGCTTAATGGGCATATACTGTATGTGCTGTAATGTTATTTACATTTTTAAAAAGTGAGCAGATGGGTTTGTTGATTCTGAGTAGTGTTGTTCTTTGAGGTAACAAAATCCTAATTCCGGGTCATGTGATTTCATAGAACTGCCTGGTGCGCAGTGTTTGGCATTTGAGTTACATTTGTCCACATGAGTTGATTCAGAATCTTGCAACTGCAATGAAAAAAAGTTGGGTTTAAAGAAAGACACGATTTGGAAAAAACATGGTAAATGGGGGGGAAAACAGTAAAAGACAAGAGATCCCCTAGTTTCTACCGGTACAATGAAGGCAGAGGGTCTGTGTGAGAGGCAGCCAGGAGAACCAGATGTTCAGCTTCACATTTCCACCGACCAGTCCAGAGAAACCAGGTAACTGGCTCTGTGAGGTTGCAGGAAGTGAAAGTCCAGGCAGCAGTGGAATCTTGCCCTCTGCATAAAAATGATCTATAGAAGTTATAAGCTGTTCGGGGGTAACGCTGACAGCTGACAGCTGACAGATGAAGTTGCCACCTGAGGAGGCGGCCGAGTCAGTGATGGAGCGTTTTAATTCACAGATAAATACCTTTTTGCCCTTGACAGAGCAGAAGTGTGGTGATACGGGCTGGAATCTCCTGTAACACAGGAACGCCCTTGATGCGGACTGAGGGTAGTCCTACCGCCTGAGCGACACACTGACGGGGCCCAGAGCCAACAGCTTTTCCATTCCTGCAAGCCAGCTTGGAAGTGTGGATTTTTCCAGCAGGTCCGATGGGAAACCTGGCCGTGCCAGGACTACGGCAAGGCGGCCGTGCTGGGGTCTGGTCATGGCTAGCTTTTCCTCCTGACCTGAGCCCAGTAGAACGTACCTGGGACCACCATGTGAAAGCCATCAACAAGAGGCAGCTAGGACTGGGCAGCCTGCTGCTGCTTAGGAAGAGAGGCAGAACATCTGACAGCAGTGTCGCATTTCATGTTGAAAACTTATCACGACCCTGGATCTGTATTTTTCCACCATTCTTGTATTTTCCCATCTATTGTGCTAACCTGTCTGTCAGTACAAGTCCTTGTTACCTGGTAACTATCACCAGTTTCATGCACGGCTTTGCAGTTGCTGAGCGAGCAGCCGGATCTCTGTAGAGTTCTCACCAGTGGAACCCCTTTTCTTCAATGTGACGTAAGTCCGCTGTAAAAGCTGACTTTTAATGTAAACTGACAGTTCTAAATTGCAGTGTTCTGAATTGTCCACATAAGCCCTTCTGCTATATTTGGGATAAACCCACCATTAAAGTATGATCATTTGAATCAGGACTGTACTGCAGAATGTGATGTACTACACGAGGGACAACTTGCAGTAGTATATAAATAGTAGTATATAAGTCTCTCTGCCACTCTGCCTAGATAGCTGTCATCAGGAGAGTGTTACAGGCTCACGTACAACTGTTAAATGCTTGTGTGGCATTATGAAAAAGGTCAAATGAGCAAATACGCGAACTCCCTCAAAATGTAAAAACACGGGAACCGGGCTAAACCACAAAACATAAACTATCAAAAATATTGTCTTATATTTTCCCACTATAGTTATGAGAAGTAAGGCTACATTAATAGGATTTAAAAAAAAAACTCAGAGAAGTGACAACATTGACTGTATAAGTGCTATGGAAAATGTCTTATTGGCGTATCACTAAGCACACCACAGTAGGTGCTATTAGTGGTATTTGTGGTATGCAGTCACTTCTGACTTAGCATAAAAGAATTTGGAGGCTTTCATTGAAGGTTATCATTTAAAGAGCTACAGTAATTAATTTGGTAGCGCCGAAAAGGAAAAGGCAGAAAAAAACTGTTATTAAAGATGTACATGACTTGCTTTTGTACTCATTCTCTCATGTGTACCCTTTCATTATGCCCCGTGTACAATGTTTTCTTAGAAGGCATGATGTTATCAGCAGAAAAGACAGTTAAAAATTGATGATATTCATCTTTTTTCATCCCCTCTGATACCTATCATTTGCCGTGTTTCTTATACTTGCAGCAGCAGTTTTTGTAAAGTTAATGCAGATAAATAAGTAATGGTATGTTACTCTAAATAATTTTTGTTGTGCAGACTGAAAGAAGAGGGATTTCTGGGCTATGCTGCTTCCATTGAATGGTAGTGACAGTACCCTTCATTCTGCTCTTTCTCAGCCACTTGCCTGCTCCACTGGCACATAAGACAGTGATCATTTGTCTGACATGTGGCCTCGATTCACAAAGCTTTTACGTTTCCAAAAGGTTTGAACATGGAAAGTCTTGTTATATAGGCTATGTTACAAAAGGCCACTTCTGTTAACGCAGAAGTCCTTATTGAGGTTGTACAGTGCCATGCTAAGGGGTTTGAAAAGTACAGGGTCACTACATCGTCCTCCGCTTATGGTGGTAAAGAGTAGACTGTGAATCCCCAAAAAGAGCTCAAGAGCTTTTTCAGTCGTAGGTTCCAAACACAGTGAAACAAAAGGGGCAGGCCCAGTCTCCTGGGAGACGGATCTGATAACAGCTGCGTCTGATGGGCTGCAGGGGGCTGATCTCTGGCCGTGCTCAAGAATGAGCGCCAAAGGAGGTGAAGCTGAGCCGCCAGGCGCTCGTGACAGCACAACACCTCCGCCTCTTGGACTTTCTCTTGCATTTATGTGTGTCTTTCTGAAGGGGAGATTTGATGCCGTGGATGAATACATTTCTGACCGATAAACTATTCAAAATGCAGTGTGCTCTACTAATATGTAGCTAACTAGCTGCGAATGCTTTCAGACAGACTTTTTGTATCGCACAAAGGACTCATTTGTGTGCTTTTAATAATTACTGCATTCCAGGTTCAGTAGGACACTTTAATACTGTAAATGTGGGTAGAGCTTAACTGATCTGAGATCTGCGTGGCGAAAGACATCTGGCCACTCTTCTGACTGTGTTCCGGCGAGCTCCAGAGCGTCTCTGGTTATAATCCCCCCAGCCAGTTTGACCTTGAACTGGGCTCCGTTCGCCACACACTGGGGCCTGACCAGTGCGCATGCAGGCTGTCAGTCCAAATTTATCCCTTTTAATCTTCTCATTAACTACCAACAGTGTTAGCCTTGTATTGTTTTTGTAGAAATGTGCAATGTGTCCCCAGACCCCTATAGGAGCCATTCAGCTTTCCCAGCACACGTCTGCACTCTTGCATGGGGTGTCTGCATCAGGCCCTGCATGGTGCCACAGGCAGAGCCTCTAGGTTCTCTTTTGGTTTGAGCTTGTATAATATACATGTATAAAATCACAGATGATAAGTACTGCCATCCTTTATCACCAACAGGGTTGCGTAGTGATTTATTGAAAATGTGAAACTTTGTATCCAGCTTCCCATCATTTAAAATTGTATCTTGTCTTAACAATAGCTTAATTTAAGGTTTATTAACCTGACAAAGGTGAATGGTTATTTCTGTACATCCATAGATTTGTGAATACCACTTGTAGGTACTGTAATGTGGTTACTAGTACTTATATCTGCTGTCATTGTACATATTTAAATGAGTGCTGTATCATGAAGATTTTAATATTACTTCTTTTCCTCATTAGTCATAGTATCCTGTGTTGTTGGTCGCTGTATTGCTTTCCGAAACTCAGTTATGGTTAATTATGAAATAATTCTCTATTACTAATAATTCTCTGGTAAAAAGCCAGAGAGCTTAGCTCTAGGTAAAGGTGTGGTCTTGGGTGACATCTCTTTCAGAACTCACT